AGAATCAGAATATTTTAAAGCTGAGATATTGTGGCAGGAAATTGCTCCCATGTTTGGGATAGGCCAACCCTTGAAATGTTTGTATGTTTTAATTTTCACAATTGCCTTATCCACAGGTGATGCATTTTTTGTGGTATTTTGGTTAAAAATTCAAGGGTCTACTTATCCACAGATGGGCTTATCTGCGAGTATATACAGGTACTTTAAAAAAAGTATTATGGTATATATTTGTGAATAAACCCATCTGCAGATAAGCCAAGCCCAATTTTTGGGGTGTATTTTGGCACCTAAAATTCTTGGCTTATCCATGAATATATATAATATATATGGAAGCACAGCTGGCCTCTTGAAGAAATGTCTGGCCTTACCTGAAGGAATAAGAGTAGTATTCTGTTTTCCCCAGGAATTACTGAACATGGTCACTGAGAAAAGTGGAAACTACACTATACTTCAGTTGGAGAAACTCTATGCCTTACTCAGTCAGTGTATTTATCGACATCGTGGAGACTACGACAAAACCAAATTGATTGAGGTACAGTATTTTACACGGATATATTCTAACGGTAATTTAAGTCTGTGCACCCAATTATATTATCAGTACTCTCATAGTAGATACCAAAGCTTATATTGCTTGTTTTTCTTCCTGACAAAACAAGAGCTGGAAACCATGAATTTAGACTTGATTCCAGCTATGGCTTGTTATCTGGCAATCAAGCCAGAGAGCCCTTCCTTTGTGGCTTGTTTAGCCAAAAGTAGGAAGAGCCACGCTGAAGTGATTAAGCTCATTCATGTTAGGCCAAAATTCTCCAGAATTCTGACTCCACATAAAATGCAGATTCTGGCAGTTCTGTATATAGGAATCTGTCCTTGAATGGAAATACAAGATAATGACTGCTTGCCACAACAAAGGCCTGCAACATAAACTACAATTCAAAATTATACTTCAACAATAGAACAAAAACTATTTAGTTAAAATGCTGTTTGATTCTACTTATGTCATGCATTCTCTTTTCCATTTTCAGGCAATGACAAGAGAAATTGCAGTCTTCAGTTCACAATTAATGTGAGACCAAATATTACATATGCACAGTAGATTTTATCTAATGTAACATGTCTTGATTTTTACCCATATGGAACAGAAACCCAGCCTTCTAATACATTGAGAACAAGTGTTAAAGAAGGCAAGCGGTTGTACCAGTGTGCCTGGCAGCCTTCTTACAGCATACTTGTTTTTTCCTTCCTTTGTAAAACTGAACCTCTTACAACTATCAGGATCTAATGTGTTTAAAAAGAAACAGCCTAGTCTGTCAAGCCACTTACGTGGAGGAGATGTTGATCTTTTGAAAAATACATTACATTTTCCTGTAAATTGAATAAAATTACATCTTAATTTATCCCAACGTTCTTCAATCAAATCATGTATATATGTTGAATTGCAGGTGTTATTCTACTGTATCATCACATTGCTTTTACTGGTGACAAGATATATTCGATTCTAGTAGCTCAAATTTCAAACAGCATCCATGTTTTTTATTGCACTAATTTTAGTGTTAATACAGTTTGTATAATCTTTTTAGTGCTCTAAATGTTATGTAATATATAAATGTTAAAATTTTAATGGACAAAATAAATTACTCTTGATACTAATTGTAGATGGCATTTTTTCCCCCCCAGTTACATATAATAGATACAACCCTAGCCCCAAATCTAATTTGTTGAAGAAAGTTAGAATACATCACTGTCGTTCCTAGATTGAGGAGCTCCAGTGGCTGGGTACATTATGCCCTTTGAGAGCTCTCTGAATAACTGTGGGTGCCGAGGTTCCCCGCATGTGACAGGTGATGGGAGACTCACCAGGGGTGGGGATAACAGTGGATTCATGAAATTAAATGATACTCCACTCCCTGCTACTCTGATTTTCAGAGGAAAAAAAGGGGAATCTTTGTTGCTTTTACTCTGAAATTTCCAGCATGGAGGATAGTATACTGGATGTGATCCCAGATGTTTGAAGACTATGAAAGTCGCCCAGAAACCATTACTGAAAATGCTGAAGTACCTTGCTGCTCCGTTAGAGTGTACCTAGCACTCAATTGTCTTTAATCTTCAAAATGTTTCCTCGAGGTTTAAACTATAGCCTCTGCTTTTGATTTTGCCCCCTGCTGCTTTCAAGAAAGTGGTGTCTAAATCTTTTAGATTTCTAGTCAGCTGGGACCTGCAACTTTACTGGATGTTAGATCAGGGAGATAAAAGCAGGAGTTAGCAAAGAGCTTTGAAATGGCTTTTATATGCTAGGTGGGCATTGAAATAGCACATGTAGTTCAATGTAAATATAAAATATGGGGTATATCTAATTCCTCATGTATTCTAATCTGATGGATAACTAGGATCTCAGGATTGTATGGCTAGGAAAAGGAAAACACTGATGCTATGCTATGACTGTTGTAGCTTATTTTAACTAATGTTAATCTATTTTAATTAATGTTTGTTCTGTTTTTGCTGTAAACCGCCCAGAGTCACACTGCAGGGAGACGGGCAGTGACAAATTTGAAATATAAATTTGGAATGAGAAAAGTGTCAATAATCGTAACACCTTCATCATTCACAGAGTATGGCTGAATTTGCACAGCACCGCAATCCAAAGCCAAGCCAAGGGGCTCAGCAGATCTAGTCCATAAGGTGAAGATCGGCCTAAGTGAGCCATCATGTTTTAGCTAGAACGTTCCCAGTGCCTCTGACGCTGCCTTCGTGTTAATAATTTTAAAAATGTAAAGGTGGATACGGTAACAGTGCAATCCAGACCGCATGTAGAACAGGGTTCCTCAACCTCAGCAACTTTCAGATGGGTGGATTTCAACTCCCAGAATTCCCCAGCCAGCCAGGAAT